TCGGACATGCCTCTCTGATCACCGCAGCTAAGGAACCAACAGTAAGAGGCTGACCTCCATTGGCTTGTTGGAAGATGGCTCTGCATTTCTCCAAAAACGTTTGAGTAGACATGGTTAGGAAGTCTCGACTGCTTCAGCGCTCAACTGTGTGACTGAAATAGTACGCGCGTTGTCTGCCCAGCCAGAGCAAAACTGTTCAGTGATAGCGGGCAGGTTGATATAATCTTTTATTGTGCTCTGTCAACACACGAGGCTGGTTGCTGGATTCAGCCTCACATACAAGACCGGCGAAGTGGCGAAAGGTGAGTCGGTGACATTAGTATTTGTTAGTTAGTTAGTTAGTTAGTTGGATTATCCTCATTGCACTCCGGACATGTCCATAGGTGCTCAGATCCTCCCCTCAGTATGAACCCCAACGTCCGATGATGACATTAGTATATCCCTGAATAATCACGGCAGGAAGATTAAAAGACCCGTTTCCACGCCCTAATGCGTATTGGGCAAAGAGAAAAAGTTAAGGACCCTTTTCACCACCTTTAGGTGTATTGGGCATATAGTGAGAGACCTATATTTTATATACCAATCAGCAACATTACGAAGGTCGCCTCTACTTCTTAGGACTTTGCCTGGTACCCACTCAAGGCTGGGTCGACATGGCAGCGAGGGTAATTTAAAAAAAACAACAACATCCAGCTCTGTTTGAATTCGAAACCACGGCCGTCGAATCCGTAAGCGAACGTTTGTTAAACCGCTAAACCATACATAGCTTCTGAAAGACACATAATTTTGACATTCAAATTCTGAGTAATTAAATAGGGGAATTTTCCCTGGATAAATTGCATACAAGACTACCGAAGGATTCAACCAATCACATGACAGTTCTTTTGCTCTAGGGTCATCGATAGTTTTGGGTGTACGGGCTTTGCCCTCAACTTTTAAAAGGGCGCCATCGTATAACTGTGTGATCCACCCTACCCCCACCTCCTACAACAGTGAATTATTATAAGGTTAATTACGATAGTTACTAAAGCAAGGAAAGGACACCTTAGCAGGCAACATGATAGTAATTAAAAACCACAGTGTCCTTGCAATAGACAAGAAGCAGAGGCACGTGAATACAGTGAGGGAAGACATTTGGTGAGCTGCAAAATTGAAAAGGATAATGTGGCTTGGAGCGAATTAGGTGTCGGCATCAGTACCATCATGGTTGAAGAAAGGTTTAATCTACGTCAAATCAGCACTAATGCATGAAGCTGAAATACGGAGAAGAGTCAAATATTAATAAATTTCAGACATTCATTAACTGGTGCCTTTGAATAATATGTCTATGCCTAATTAGGAATCGACATCACATCACTCGGCACATTCCCATAAGCAATTCGCCACCATATTAAGCAGCAAACCCCGTGTTCCAATTCCAGGCCTGTGATAATCCATTTGTACTCAAGCAGTGTTCAATAGCTCCCAAAGGGCCCTTACATCATCTATCTTGTCAAGCGTCACTTCACCACCAAGTTGTGCAGAACCAGCAAGTCCATCTGCAGTTCGTTTCTCAACACACCGAAATTCCTTGAAAAAAATACACAAAGGACGCTAACTACCCGGGACCTCTAAAACGATGCTTGCCACTCTGCACGAAGCCTCCTTGCCTCACATTTTCTCGGTATGCTCTGTGAGTCAGTTACAGATACGAAATGTGTGCACAGCTGATTCTAAAGCCAGCGGTAGGCTGTAGTGACTGCCTTCACCTCCATTTTCAAACTGTATGTTTTGAGGTCATATGCCACAATTTGTTATTTTGAATAACAGAAGAAATCAAATAGTTTGGCATAATCACTGTTCTAGAAATTTAACGATAAGTAAACACATTTTAGTATATCAAGAAGTGTGAAAATGATACTGACGCTAGAAGAGCTACCTTTGAGAAAACAATACTAAATTATTGATATGTGTACGTGGGGGTGGAACACAAAGGATGTACGTGGGGGTGGAACACAAAGGACAAAAGAAACAGAGGGAGACTTTAAACACACGGTTTAGACATAGGTGGTTACCATGGCTAGGATAATGAGTGAGTTGCAGAAGATGGCAAAACATACGACATTGTTTGAGGTAAATTAGGACCTGTTTTACAATAAGGGGATACATAGTAGTAGTAGCAGTAGTATCAGTATCATGTTCGCTGGAGAACTAAGGTTGAGACTCTTTGAAACCACCAAACTTCTTGTTTAATGGGATGGGGTTAGGGGCCGGAGGAGAAGGGGGGGGGGGGGGGTGGTGATCTCTTTTGACTTATACAATTTGCAAGGGCGCTCAGTGGCACCCCATCCCCACCAGAGTGGATGGCTCTATTTTGGACACATTATGAGAAGAGATGAACGGAGAATCACCAAACACTCATCATTAACAACAACAACATCATCAGTTTGATCTGGCCAAGTTCAGCTGCTATGTAGAGAGCTAGCCTCTCCTAGATAAAGTTAGCTGCGTATCCTTTACAGGACGTTGCAAGACCAACCCCAGCGTTTTTTTGCTCTTGTTGTTTTTTTGGGAAAATTTTACGTTCAGTAGTTTGCCATTGCTTCTGAACGATCAGCTCTCGGTACTACTATGGAAACCGACGCAAGGCAAACTGCCCGCATCTGGGATCGAACCTCGCAACCAACGCGGCAATACGAAGCGCGTTCGCAACGCCTAAGCCACAGACACCGACACAGATAGCATTACTTAAAATTTTGGCTCCTGTTCATGCTGTTATTTCATTGTATGTTTCGTAGTGTTAGTGGTTCCAGCCTACCAGGTCTGTCGAACCAGGTTTTCTGCATGCTGTTATTTCATTGTATGTTTCGTAGTGTTAGTGGTTCCAGCCTACCAGGTCTGTCGAACCAGGTTTTCTGCATGCTGTTATTTCATTGTATGTTTCGTAGTGTTAGTGGTTCCAGCCTACCAGGTCTGTCGAACCAGGTTTTCTGTATGCTGTTATTTCATTGTATGTTTCGTAGTGTTAGTGGTTCCAGCCTACCAGGTCTGTCGAACCAGGTTTTCTGCATGCTGTTATTTTAGGTAGGCAGGTAAGTTGTACCCCACCAGGACATCACACAAGCCATAAACACCTGGTGACACAAAGTGCCACCATGCGGATGAGGATCACCCGTGGAGAGGTCCCGGAAACCTCGCTCAGACGTTATGCCATATTTAGGGCCCGGGTATATTTAGGACCCGCGGCAAAAGCCGGTGTAGGCTCTTTTTTAAATGGGAAATAAATGGATTGCGGAAACGAAAACGTCCAAGAAAGACCCTAAGACGAACGCTGATAAGAGGCGCCAAAGGCGCTAGAGTGGATTCCATATATGATATCGAAGTTAATGCGCAGGATATACGGGACTGGAAAAAAGATTGCGAGCCCTATATGACATATAATGGCACAATATGACAATGATGCTGTTGAAGAAAATGTTGCCTACTTTATAATGCGGGCTCTGGCTAAATAAAAAAAATAATATAATATCTACATATTGACATTTTTATGAAAATTTACGAATCAAACTATGTTTTCTACCTGTTGGTTTGATTGAACTCAGTTACCAACCACCTGACACGCATACATTGTCTAACCGTGACTCACCTCGCCTAACAGGTCTGGGAGACAACAGGGCGCACCTGTGTAAGTAATAGCCTTCATGAGATGAGCAAAAGAGAAAACTGACATTGTGTCAGACAAGTTTCATAATGAGACAAAAGCTAGGCAATTTGTATAGGAACAAGATCTTACACGGATCTCTTATACACGATAACTATGTAATGAGGGTAATGTGGTTTTTTAATGAAGAGAATAAAAGGAGTACGTGAACGAAAACAAACGCTGAAGTTAGATTTGCAAGGGCTACCACGATCATTGATTAAACGAGGAAGAATTCACAAGTGGCATTTATGGAGCATATCAACAGACGAGGTATCGATAGACAGTGAAGGAACTCTTTCATGTCGGGTCACCATATCGTCCTCTTTCGCCAGGACAGTATCGTTTTGTTTTTCAAGTAGGCATAGACAGCCGCGTGGATACTTGAAAAAAAAAAAACAAAAACGTGTTGGGTGGGCGGGAGGGAGGGGAAGGGGAGAAGAGGGAAGAAAGGGGGGGGGGGGCATCGACCAGAAGGTCTGGGCCTATCTAAAAGAAACATTACTGTCCCAGTGAATGCAGTCATCCTAAACTTGCATGTGGCCTAAGATGCTAAACTGATTTGTATTTACCAATTGGCCCCTAGACGGTGACGTGAGTGTGAACTACATACCGACCACCTTTACTGCTTAGGAAATTTTCTGATAGCCACTGTTAGTATTTCATTGTTTTTATTTCCCTGAAGTGCTGTTCGATCAGACCCTTTTGAGCAACTACTTACAAGTTTATCAGATCATCCTAAGTTAAAAAAAAAAAAAAAAAAGAAAATCTTATTTTGGACAACAAACCAACAAAGTAGATCCCACATACCCCGTTCAGCCTCCAAATAAAATATAATTAGGGCACCTGTACGGCTACACCCTGGCGTGAATTTCAGTCGTATGTGGGTAAGGACATTGAAATGCAGTACATGCCTCAGTTTGATTTATTGGCACCTTTCTGTCTTTTCATACGATAGTGTAATACTAGGCTATGAGCGGGCATGAGGAATCAGTCCATGGCGATGGTGAGTTTGACTAGGAAGACCCACCCTAGTTAATAAAAGTCTTCCACAATTATAGCATGGGATTTCAGGACCAATGTTGTCAACATTTGTGTTTACTCTGTTTCTTTTCAGACGCTCAGCTCGAATCCTTTCTGCAGTAATTTCTTCCTGTTTTCTCAGTCCCTTGAAGATGTGCTCCTTCACACAACACGGTCCATGGACCCCCCCCCCCCCCCCAAAAAAAAAAAAAAAAAAAAAACAAGCCCACCTCAATAACCGTATTATTCATGTGCCGCTTGCGCACATCTTTATACTGTAATAGAGGTCGGCTTCGACATCTTCTACCCATAGAGGATGTCCTTAGAGACTCTACTATCCTCCATTCTCCATATGTGATCCAGCCATTTGAGTCTGCGTAAACTGAGCCTTATTATCAGCCCTTTATGAT